AAATAAAATGCGCAAATCTATGTCTAATCAAACTGAATACAGATAATTTCACCCTCAGAGATGCTTCAGTACGTTTTTCCCCAGACTGAACACCTTCCAGGCCTGGGCACAATTCTTTCCCCTGTTCCAGCTCCTGTTCCAGCTTAGGTGGTAGCTAGGGGATTCTTCATGATGGCTGTTCTCTCTCCTCTTTGTTCTGTTCCACCCCTTTATATATCTTTTGCATAAGGCGGGAATCCTTTGTCCCTCTGGGTTCCCCTCCCCCCCCCACTGGAAAAGCACCAGGTTAAAGATGGATTCCAGTTCAGGTGATATGATCACATGTCACTGCAAGACTTCATTACCCACTTGCCAGCACACACACATACAGGAAGACTCACAGGTAAAACACAGCCATCTGCAGACAATGGTCCTGGTTAATGGGAGTCATTCAGATTCCAAACCACCATTAATGGCCCACACTTTGCATAATTACAATAGGCCTTCAGAGTTGTATTTCATATTTCTAGTTTCAGATACAAGAGTGGTACATTTATACAAATAGGATGATCACACTCAGTAGATTATAAGCTTTGTAAGGATACCTGACAAGAGACCTTTTGCATGGAGCATATCCCAGTTACATTATATTCACTTATCATATTTTTATAAAACCATATAGACTGCACAACGTCACAGTTATGTTGGTGTAGCAGGGCACTTACATTGGCGGAAGCAAGGCTGTAGTGTAGACCAGCGGTTCTCAAACTGGGTCAGGACCCCAAAGTGGGTCGCAACCCTGTTTTAATGGAGTCACCAAGGCTGTAAAAGTTGCTGAGGCCTGGGGCTGAAGCCAAAGTCCAAGCCCTACTGCCCTGGGCTGAAGCCCTCAAGCTTTGGTGTCCTCCAGGGCGGGGGTCTCAGGCTTCGGTCCCCCTTCCTGGGGTCTTGTTGTAATTTTTTGTTGTCAGAAGGAGGTCGCGGTGCAATGAAGTTTGAGAAACCCTGGTGTAAACACATAGGTCGACATAACCTGCCATATGTTGACCTAACTCTGTAGTGGTAGAGCAAGCTCTAGTGTAGACACTTGCTACAGTTATGGAAGGGTTTTTTTTCTTTCGCTGTAGTAAATCCACCTCCTCATGAGGTGGTAGCTAGGAAGACGGAAGAATACGTCTGTTGACCCAGAAGTGTCTGCTCTGGAGCTTAGGTTCACTTAACACCCTGAGTAACGTAGCTAGTTTAGGTGTAGACCAGGCCTAAGTTCGTGAATTTGTAGAGACCATTGGAATATCTGGGCACTATAAAGTGAATTAAGGATAGCAGATTAGCCTAGGTGTGTCTGCCACATGCAGATGAACTTAAATTAAATTTAAACTCGGATACTGTGTCACTTCTTTAAAATTCCACTTTCCGTTGCTCATTGTCAAGATTTTTCTGGAAAAGAATTAATGTTCTTAGTAATTAGTAACTAGCTCTTGCCTTACTCCTGGTTTGTGCATTTTAATGAGTACAGAAAGCATCTTCATAATAGTGGCGGAGCAGTAAAAGAGGCAGTAGGAAGCGGAAAATAGGAAAATGATAGCTAGGGGAGGATGGGACTAACTGTTCTTACAGACCTTTTCTTTATAAAAACAGTTCTTCCTTTCTCCCTCAAAGCAATCCATGCAGACAAGCACGTAGCTTTTTAACTTTTTGTTTCAAAATTTTAGAGGTCTCAGAACTCATTCAGTTAAAATTGAAACCCATGCCGATCTATATTTAACAGTGGTGGTTACTCACGTCTGCTGCCATATGTAACAATGCAATGACTTTGGGTTATTTAGCTGTGAACTTATAGAAAATACTTAATCTATATTGCACATAAGTTGCTTTTCAGCTATATGACTACAAAAATGCTCTCTAAGAGGTTCTGATTAATGATAGTACAACAGTTTGATTATACTATATACGTAAATGCCAGAACTAACTTTGTTCAGGTTTCATGTAGTTTGTATGTGTGGGCCTACATTTAGGTAGAAGATAGGATGTTTTTCAGTCTTTCTGAAATGTTAACCGTCGATGGATCCAGTAAACCATCAGTGAATTCTGTGAGCATACATACAATATCACTGATGTGCAGAAAAGCCCTGAAATCAGCTGCTTAACACACTGAATACTGATGCCAAAACTGCATGTGTGTGTTTAAGTAGCTAAAACACATATTCGTCATCACCTCATAGGTAGAAAGTTACTGATTACTGTTTTAACCGTAGTTATTTCCAAGTTAGAAAGAAAGATAGGGCAGCGTGGCCTACACTGTTACTGGACGAAAGCTCTCAGAAGAGAGGTTTAACCAGCTTAAGCCATGACTCTTGTGTACAGTTTTTAGAGGCAAGTACTAAAACTTGTTAGCTGCTGATTGTATCTGAATGTCTTAGGGCTTGGCTACACTTGCGAGTTACAGTGCAATAAAGCAGCCCCGGGTGCCCTAGTTCACTCCCCGTCCACACTGGCAAGGCACGTAGAGCACTCTGACTCCACGGCTATAGCGCTGCTGGTACTCCACCTCGGCGAGTGGAATAACATTTGCTGCTCCCCTGCTGGAGCACCACAGTGCTAGTGTGGACGAGGTGTTGCATTACTGCGCTCTGATCAACCTCCGGAAACGTCCCATAATCCCCTTAAATCAAGTGGCCACTCTTCTCATTGTTTTGAACTTGCTGTAGGAATGCGGATATGCCTTTTTGAAAGCTCTGTTTCTGACAGCCGGCTGCTTATCTGCTCCGAGACAGATTAGTGTGGAATGCTGTGTGTGAGAGAGAGAGAGAGAGAGAGGCGGGAGGGATGGGGGGTCTGCCGCTATCTGAACTTACAAGACTGCATGCTAACATGCTCTCAGCCCCCCCCAAATCCACTCTCTCTCCCCCACATACACATAACACACTCCCTGTCACACTCCAGGCCACCCCTCCCATTCCCATTTGAAAAGCACATTGCAGTCACTTGCATGCTGGGATAGCTGCCCATAATGCACCATTCCCAATGCCGCTGCAAGTGCTGCAAATGTGGCCACGCCAATGCGCAAGCAGCTGTCAGTGTGGACAGACTGCAGCACTTTCCCTACTGCGCTTTCTGAACGCGCGTTTAACTCACAGCGCTCTACATCTGCAAGTGTAGCCATGCCCTTAGTAAATATAAATGTAAGTAGCTCCTATGTTATGTACTTTAGGCTTTAATGCTACTGTAGATGAATACAAAATACTTTATTTTACTGGAACTTTTGAAAGGCTTTAATGTTGAATGACTAATTGAGATTCTATAACATTTTCCCCTTAGAAATAACATTTCAATAGTTTCCATTTGTTTTTGGAAGCAAAGATTTATTCTAATGTAATACTGGATTTGTTGACAAATGCCCCTTGCGCATTCAATTTAGTATAACTTTTGGTATATCTAAAAATTAAGCATGCCCACAGAAAATGGGGGCATGGTTCAGGTTTTTGATTTTTCTGAGAAGGCTTGTTTTTCATTTTAGACACTGCAAGAGATTCTCATCAGCAGGATAGCTGGGCAAAATTGTTTGTCACAACTAGTTTAACCAAATAGGGCTGTACTATTTACTACTATATTTAGCTACTATTTCTTTCTTGCATGGATTAATGTGTTGTATAAATTGGGTTGGTTTTTTTTTAAGCTTCCTCTCTTCGCCCTTCTGGTGAACAGACAGCTTTACAACGTACAAGATGGAAAGAGCAGTCTTGCTTTAATTTACAGAAAGCATTAAAAACAGTGCAAAGAAACTTGATAGGCACTGCTCTGTACTTAACAGTAAATACCTACAGTTTACGTACCAGGGTACTGACTCATGATATATTGGGGAAAAAATCTTCCATTTTGATAGAATTGAATAGGAACAGTGCTCCTATTGGGTATTTGGCCTGCTGTTCTTATAGTAGTTATCAGTATACCTAAAAGTTGGATTTATGATGCCAAAGTATTTTTCCCCATCCCAAAATGGATCTTTCCCAAATAGCTGTTTATAAAGATTTGTAAAAATTTTGTTTTTATGGGTTTTTAAATTTCTGAACGCTGGAGAGAACTGGATTTGTGCCATTGCAAAATTCTATTGCATTCAGTTCAAGTGTAGATGCAGCAAATTTTGGGTCAGGTATTGAATGAGGGCCAGAAGTTTAAACATGATATGCTAGACAAGTGGAGTAAGTGAAATGATTCAGAAGGAAGGGATGATATGAGGACCAATGATGAGGAAGATGACTTTTAGCTTCTGAGTTCAGCTGCTGTATTTTGGTCAGGGAAAACAGCCTTCCAACCCCATGAATCCTGGGGAAGGGATGACCCAATACTGTGAATGCAGTGGTGTCTGTGTGGAGGACTGGCATCCTGTACTGATCTGTTTCATGTTCTCCCCAGACTTCACTTGGAACTGTGCTGCCATTGGCTAATTACATGGTTCTGTTAGAACATTCAAGTAATAAACTCCAAAGGATGAGGGTTTCACAACACATGTTCCTATCACCAATGAATGTCATCTGTAGCTTAATTAAATCAGGCAGGCCAGTTCAGTTTCAGATGACAGATCATTATTGAATAATCAGAGTATTAAAAAGTTTAAGGAAAAGAAGGATTTGAAGTCCATGCACTCTGCAATGCTCAGTATACTGAGATGTAATTACACTGGTATTAATGACTGCTAGTGTTTAAAGGGGTAGACAGATGGAGGGTGGGAGCTGAGGTGGTGGTGGATCAGTGGTGAATCTATATTTAGATATCTACTGTGTATCCTTTTTTATCTGACTCTACGGCTGGCCACTGATTTTGTTTTAAAAATCTTGCCCTCCTCTGTGTGTTAATGCACTTAAAACTGCTGTATCCCACTTCACATAACAATTTTTGTGGAGGAAAATTACTCATGCAAAGCAAAATATGTACATCCCGATAGTCAGAATTGTCAGATCACTAAGGTAAAAAACCATGCTGTGTCCAAACCAGATTCATCACTTTTACTTTCTGTCCTTCAGGGAACAACCTATCTTCAGCACCCGAGCTCATGTCTTCCAGATTGACCCAAACACTAAGAAGAACTGGGTTCCCACCAGCAAGCATGCTGTTACTGTGTCCTACTTCTATGACAGCACAAGAAATGTCTATAGGATAATCAGCTTGGATGGCTCAAAGGTAAGTCTATTTATTTTAAGATTATCAACTTTTTAACTATGTTTCAGTCTGGCATATTTCACACATTCTTAGAAATGTGTCCTATGTCACAATCTCTCCCAACAGGAAATTTATTGTTGGAGTTTTAAAATGGGAACACTTTTATTTACAATGTTTAATTGTTCATGAGAAAATGCTCTTGTCAATACATTAATATAAAAATCTATTACCAAAGTTCAAGAATTGCCTTTTAGTCACTGGGCAATCTCAAAAAGTGCATTTACTGTAAAAGATACTGGAAGTTATGTGAAGGTGATGATCATATCAGTTTTCAGCTTTGTTTTCTATGGAGTATTAATATAACTAGTTCCTTGGCATTATGAAGGACATCTGTTCAGTGATCATAATCGCTCAGTAAATCCTTGTTTGGCGTATAATCCTCCATTTTCTGTATGGGGGGAAAATGGTGACTTTTCTCCTATAATGCTTTCAAAAGTAACCTCTTGTCAAAACTCAATACATATTTTGATTAGGCATTGTAAATTGTCTAGTACCTGGATTTAGAGGACTAAGAATCAGGAATCTTGTTCTATTGTGTGATGTGATCAAGACCCTTGTCTGTCCCTCATATTACCCATCTGTAAAATACGTATTAAAATACTGACATGGAGCTGTGCGCTTTTAAATATTTGTAAAGTGCTTTGAAATCTGTGGGCTAAGGGTACTACGTAAGTGCAAAGCATAATTCAAAAATTAAAAGCTGGAATTTTTCCCGAAAGACTTAATTTACAAAGAAGTTGCAACTTCTGTGGGCTTCACTGAATTGAAAAATAGGGGTATAGCAAAAACAACCCAAGAATTCTGCGGCACAGATGACGTGTATCTTAACCAATGTTTTAAGGCCTATTCCAGTGCTAATTGCATGATGCAGTAGAGTTTGTTTTAATTCCTTAATGAATGTTCTGTATTACTTGAGGTTTACTGTGTTTTGTAAAAACTTTGTAGGGTTTGGCAGTGTGATCCAATGGATAGAGCAGTATAGTAG